GGTCATCACCATGTCAATATAAACAAAATCCTCTCTCAACTATGCCTGTCGGACAGCCCTCAAAAACCGCGCCAAGAAGGATCATCCTAGTCCCGAAAGATAACCCAATTCCAATCACCACATCCACATGCCAAATGCCAGATCTCACTGGTCAAGTGCCACTGCATAAAAGCAAGACGGGGATAGTGGAAGAGTCAATGGTTCTTGTTGTCTATTGGGAAGTGATGCCATGAGCATTGTGAGTTATCGGTCAGGTGGAAGCGATGTCAGTATTGGTTTGTTGGATAGTGGCCTGTTCGGGATTGAACCACTAAAGAGACATCTCTGCATGAGGTTTCTAGTCCAACTCAAGGACGAAAGAACTGAGGCATGGTGTCATATAGTTGGCAGCCATTAATGGAAATGTGACACAATGTCCCAAGACAAAAGACATAGTGGTGTCTTGTAGAAGTCTTGAGAGTTTTATTGGAACGTGGGTCCCATGTTCTATCCCGGATAGAAATGACCTCTATTTGACCAAGATTATTAGCTTCCTGGTTAGCTACAATTTATGCCTGGTCATGTTCTGTAATTTTTATATGTCCAGGGATCCACCATAATTGAATATCTGGATAGTAGCTTTGAAAGTTCAACAAGGCGCATCGAGTGATGATTGCAAGTTGTTTGCCGCCTTATCAACACTAAACTGCCTATAGGCTAGACATGGAGGCATAGGCAATTGTGCATCAATAGGAAGGTCCAAATTTCGGTGCATGTAGCTACATATGCATGTAGCTACTCTATAAGGCCTACTGTGATGGGCTAGAGTAAGCCCGGGACATGCCGTCCAGCCAAGGACGAACATGCTTCCACAAGAGAGGCCCTAGCACATGGGCAAGGGTACCTAGTCGCGGCCAAGGGGGGATTGTGCTAACAGTCATCTGCCATGTTCTTCAAAGGCACAGGTACTATCGGTTAGTCAGTGGCTATCCAATTTATGCGCTATCATTCTAGCACACATGTGGAATTGTTTGCCATTCTGCTTGCATGCGTACATGCACCGAAATTTTGACCTTCCCAGCAGTGCACAATTGGCTTTGACTCCACGTCTAGCCTACAGGCAACTCAGTGTCGACAAGGTGGCAAACAATTTGCTATCATCAATCGATGCGCCTTGTTGAACTTACAAAACTACTATCCAGATATTCGATTATGGTGGACCTCTGGACACATAGGAATTACTGAACATGATTAGGCAACTTCTACAACCAAATAGGCGGCTAACAATCTTGGTCAGATAGAGGTTATTTCTTTCCATCCCATATTCCTATGAAACTCTCAAGAACACTATAAATCACCACTATGTCTCTTGCCTGGAGACATTGTGGCACACTTCTATACATGGCCGCTAAGTATACGATATCATGCCTCAAAACTCTCGCTCCTTAAGCTGGACTAGAAACCCCTCACGCAAAGATGTCTCTTTATTGGCTCAATTCCAAACAGACCGCTATCCAACAAGTTTGTTGGTATTGGTTTAAACCAATACTACATCGTTTCTACTCATCGATAATCCACGGTGCACATGGTGTCACTTCCTAATAGATGACAGGAGCTACATACTCTTTCACTATCCCCGTTTGCTTTTTTGCGGCAGCAGCTGACTAGTGAGTTCTGGCATTTGACACACGGATGTGGTGATTGGAATTGGGCTTATCTTTCTGGACTGGGACGACCTTTTTTCAGGGCTGTCTAATGGGCATCGTTGAGAGAGGATTTTGTTCATATTGTCATGGTGACGACCATTGTTGGAAGTCAGGCAGGGCAGCAAACATGGGATATTTGGGATATTTGAGACATTTGGGACATTTTGGACACTTGGGAAGTCTGGGATATGACTTGACGAACATTCTTCCCTTCATGACATTTTCTCTCTTGATGCTTAGGACTCCCCCGCCAGCATCATCATCATCATCAGACACTGATGTTTTTCTTTTTCTCTTGGTTCGAGACCCTACAACGGCTCCTGCTGGAAAAGGGTCCTTTTCTCATTACTGTTTGTGGGGGAGATCCTTAGATTACATTTTTGCGTAATATATTCGCATCATATTTACGGCGATTAACAGCGTGTTTTACATCCCACGTTCATGCGCCTCATACACATGGGGAGAACTGCTCCTAAGGGAGCCGTACTGAGCCGGGTGCTGTACTTTACTGAGGACAAATGCAAGGCCTGCATCTGGTCTTAGGACGATACAACGCATCTTAGTACAGAGCCTCACGTTGCTCCGTGCAAATGCCCTTTGCCACCTGAACGGCCTCACTCTGCAGTACAGCGAAGACGGCGGAGCTGGGCACACATCGCCACAAACCACCAAGCGTGCTCAAACTTTTTTACACTCCATCCTGCAACTCCGCGAAAACGAATTTGTACAGCACCCTCCAATGTCCTGCAGCGCTTCAGCAACCCACAGCGTCCAAGCGGCACCTGGCCAGCGGGCCCAGGCTTGACATCCGGTCCCCACCTCACAAGCCAACTATGGTTTCATTTTTGGGCGCTGTTTTCTACGTGAAGTAGTTTCCCAGCCGAAGATGTGTTGCTTTCCTCAAGGTACGGCAGTTAATCACGTGCCACGCTCTCTCAGGGGCCTAATTGGGGTCTTTTAGGGACGGCGACCATATGAAGATCAAATGTACTCAAGGTTGGGATTGGCGTTGGGACGTCCACGGGGGGGCGTGGGCGGCCGTTCCTCATTGATCACCTGTCCAGAACATACCCTCTCAAGACACAAGGCACGATTTGAGCGTTAGGGAAGATACAAGCACAAGACGTCTCCCCTCGACATGTTTCAGCGCATCAGACTGGCAGCGCAGGCTGCAGGAAGCAGCATTCATAGAATTTCAGACATAGATGTATTGTATTACGAAATTTAACAGCACAGCCACATGAGAATGTAACAGAAAGACAAAAGACTGCACGAATTCGCACAAATCCGCACAAATCTCGTGTTATAAGTGCTGGTGAGACGTTGCCTCTTTTCGATAAAGAAACAATCGTGCGAGAACTAGGAAAGTATCTGGATGAAATATGTCTGCTCAAGGCTCCAGACTGGGCCAGCAGGACACCTGCCCTTAATGGAGAAGGGAATACATACATTCAGAATTCATCGCACTTTATGTATCATTGTCACTACACATCATCCAAAACAATACAAAAGGTTTTGTGCTGTTTGTCAAGTTGACCAGAATTCAACGCAACAACGCCCAGCGACATGAAAGAGGCAAAGTCGATGAAGTCGTTTGAATGCAAGTTGCATCGTGCAGCCCTGCGAGACAAGTTTTTGCCATAGGAGGCAGTTCACAATTTGTGAATGACAAAGGCCCTTTACTAAAGGGTGTACCCTGTACATATACATCATCTACAACAACAACGCCAGCAGTACTATCAGTCTCACTCGAACTGGCATTCCGGTTGACCATCAACTGCTATTATCAGCAGAAAGAGCAATTAACGTCCCCTTCGACGCCCATCGGTCTCCCAAGTCCTCACAGCCTTTTCCCACCATTCACTCCGAATGGTGATGTACGTTTTGAAACTGAAAGCTGTGCACAACGTCCTTCGGAAGGCTATCCGCCAAGCATTTCCACGATTGCAGCGGAGCCACACGCGCCCACGCCACCCACCTGCATCCACGTGTCCGTGGGCTGCTGCGCGTTTTCCTCCACGCCGGCGCTGTCCGAGGACCTGGGGGTCGTCGGCGGCAGGGGGTGGATGAGCTTGGGCACCAGAACCAGGTTGCGCCCCAGCACCAAAATGGCGCCCGCGTTGTTGGCTGTGCCGCAGTAGTTGGTCGCGGAGAAGAGGGTGATCAGGTGGCCCTGGGCGAAGCGCTCGAAGCCGTCCATCACGCACTCGTGCGCCCGCACAATCATTTGCAAGTTGTTGGTCTGCGTGATCAGCAAGACACCGGTCAGAGGCCCGCAGCTGGTGCTGCTGTCTGAAGTGCGTCATTTCCTGGGTGCGCGCTGAGGTGTGCTTAAAGCCAGCCCCGTTGTTTATGTTTGCGGGACCATTTTGCGTTTGTTATTTTTGCGAGCAACTGGGTGGAAATGCTGAAGTGTTTGCACGGTAAATGACAAGCTTGCTTAAGACCGGTCAATGCATGTGTTCATCAGAATGAAATCGTGGCGCGCTCTCAGGGCAGGTACTCAGAAAGTGCAGCAGAGAGTGGAGTCCTCGGCCATTATAGATCTGCCAGCTTGGAATGTGTGGCGCGTGGTATTGTACCTGTTGTAGCTCAATGCCAGTCACAAGGTGGAATTTACATCTGCATCTGCATCTAGCTTGTATATCTATATGCCGTTTATCTAATGTTATGTGTAAATGTACATGTCATGTGTCGGAGCGCCCGTCATACCATATGTGCATACCTTGGGGCCTTCTCCATTTTACTGTGTGTTTTCAAAATGCGAATGCACGAATAATTAGCACCAGTACTAGTTATGTCAACACTTATGTGCAAGGTCGACGCCCATGCTCTTGCGGCTACGGATAATGCAAGCGCAGTACTGCAGATCACGCATCGCAGAATATTCTCATTGCGCTCTAAAACATGCTGCAGAAGCTCCAATAATATTCCAAGCATATTCTGAGCGCCTCAACATGCAAGCATTTCACGACAGTCTAGAATATGTATCTCCAGATGAAGACATTGTATCTACATCTGGTGATATGTGACACAAACCCAACATTTGTACGCACCCATCACCAGCTGATGCACCTAAATGTCTACCTCAAATGGTGATGCCCATTGCGCAAAAGCCCGCGACCCCATCTGGGACCAGTATGTTACACCGCTGGGCCCCCTCAAGCTGTGGACCCTCCTACCCATACCTCCCCACCAACCCACCCACCTTCCCCCACACACACGCACAACAAACCACCACACAAACGGTAGTAGTCTCCATACTTCACACACACACACGCCCACCTCGCACACTCCAAGCATTTCTCCTCAGGCACTGCAGCACTATGCCGCCATCGCCTCACCAGGCGCAAGGCCGTTGTTTTGTCACGTGTTTTTGACAATTGTAAAGAAAGGCACAGTGTGGATTTGGTTTGCTGAGCGTCAATTTCATGCTCAGCTCAGCACCCCCAAACTACCACCCCCAAGCGTCAAATTATCACCAAGTATACCAAAATCGACACAGTGCCTTCCCTAGCCGACGACAACAACACTTGAGTGCAACAGATTGGCGTCACAACAAACACGACGAATTAATAACAAAATTATTAACTTAACCCGACGGTATTTAAAATATTCGGCAGGCGAGTCAGACATGCGTGCATGCACTACTGCAGCAAAGCACTGCGGCAGCCCCTGCGCGCATCGACAGGCTGCTCTAATCAAGTTTGTCACCGTCTTGCCGCGCCGCGCCTCGCCACGCCCGCCGCGGGCCCCTCGGCCAAAAAGAAAATTTTTGTCGTGGGCGATTGACGTCTCTCGCCCTGGCCGCCGCGCGAGGTTTGCCGGCATTCGCAGCGAAGCGCGCATCGAGGCGGGAGGGAGGCGACTTGTGGTCGCGAACAAGGCGACCTGCAACGAGGTTTGCGTCAACCGATGACAAAGGGCGCTTCGGCGGACTCAGGGCGCCAGGCACGGCCGAGAGCCAAAGGAACAAAGACCCAACGGGCTTGAAAGCCACAGCAGAGGGCGGCGCGGCGCGACGCAGCGGCACAGCAGAGAGCAGCGCGGCGTCACGCCATGGCAGCCGTCATCCCTTAGCAGCGGGGATGGCCACTCGCATGTGCCATAGCTGCTGGCCCAACGAGCTGGTGTGAGGGGACGCACGTTGCAACAGCGATGGTAGGCATGGCTGCCGTTGGTTCACGCGGCGCTTTCGTCCGCTCGATGCGTGCCGTGACGCGCTACATCAGGGCAGGCCCACCATGTTGGTGCGCGGAAAGTGCCTCAAGCAGAACCTCCACCAGACCAGAAACACAAGCCGCGGGGAGTGGGGGGCCGATCGCTGCATCCCACACCAGCCAATTTTGCTGCTCGCAGCCACTGATTGCAGCCATCCACGGTGGCCGATCTTGGCACCTGCGGGTGGCAATAAGCGACGGCCACCCGAACCCTAACTAGCACCCCGCGGTTGCTTGCTACCAGGCGTGGGTAGCGATCAATCCATTCTTGGCGCCCTCGCCCCCGCCCCTGCCCCAACCAAACCGCTCAACCTCTCAACAACTTTCTTCTGGCGAAGCGCTGGCCAGCTTTTGGCCGTTCATTGCTGTGGTGTTTGCCTGCTATCGCACCCGCCATTCAGCTGCCAATCGAGCTGGCCGTGAGGACCAAGAGCAGCCGCCCAGGAAGCGCCACACCCGCGTTTGTTCAGGGCGCCAATCGATGGGGCCGTGGGTGCCCCTCTCCTGAGCAGCGCGAAGGAACGCGCCCAGAAGGGAGCCTCAAGGCGTGGGCAGAGCGGCAGGGAACCTTGAGGAGAGTTTAGCGCGGTGGTGCTGGCGGCTGGTCGCCACAGAGAAGGAACAAAAGTGCTGCCAGCTGCTGAGAGTGTTGGGTGCAATTGCCAGCGATCGCCAAGCGATCGCCAGTGCTGGGCTGCCGTCCGTGTTGGGGGCAGGTGAGGGCCCAGACACAACGGCAAAAGCTTGGTGGTTTTGGCGGAAATGGCTGACGATCGTGGTGCGTGTTTGCACCCCGCATCTTCTTCAATCAAACGCTTTGTTGCAGCCAGCACCGACGACCATCTGCGCTCGCATTTGGCGCGTTGTTTGCCCAACCTTTTGGCAGGGGCCAGCCAAACTGGCGGGCAAAATTGCCACGAAAACCCATACCGTTGGCTCGGCCATGCTGTGCAAGCTTGGCTGCCCTCGTGCCGCTCAATCGCCACAAAGCCTGCGCAGTTGTTGTCTCCGATTGAGCGGCGACCCAGCGACGATTGAGGCGCCCAACTTGGCCAACACAGCTGGCGAACCCACAACGCGCCTAGCTGTGGCGATCGCCTCCTATGGCACCCACTAATTGGCCGTCAGTCGCCGGTCAATCGCAGGGCAGCCGAGGGGCTGGCAGCCAGCGCCTGGGCTGCCCCGCCTTGGGCCTCGTCCTCGCCCTTCCCAATGGGCATAGCTCGCTGCAGGTGCGCTCCTGGGCGCTCGCTCGTGTCCCAGATCAACACGGATGAAAAAACGTTGAAGAAAAAAATGCGTCGAACGGAAAGTAAAATGGATGCTGACCTGCAACTGAAATCCTCGGCCAAAACAAACAGAAAAACAACAAACAGAAACAAAATCTATCACGACTCATGGACAATATCCACAGAATCTGTTATCCGCTTGCACCTCCCCTGTGCACCCCTCTGTGGTTGCCAAGGAAAATAGGACAATGTCAGTTGAAAAGAAGCTCATTTGCTACCCTCCATTTTTTCTTATAACACCATAGATTCTCAACAGTACTGATCTTGAGCAGGCTTTGAAATGTTATCGTTCGTAAGGAGCAAAAGAAAACATTATAATGGCCAACCGTGCAGTGCACAAGGCACCAACTCGAGTTGGTGCGCGACATCCCCTCAATACACATAACTTGGATCCTACAACATCAATTCAGATGATTATGTTCCATTGCTCAAAACCTGCCTTCGTTGCCACGCTGCAGTCATTGCACCTACTGGTGCATCAATCGATGCATAGATTGGTACAACAGTCGTTGCGTTCAATCCTACAACAATTGGTGCACGAGTGCATGCACCGACTGGTGCACCATTTCACGCACTAATTGGTGTGCTGAGCTTGACCCTAAAATGTCAAATCCTGGTGACTGAAAGTCATTGCGATTGGACATGGTCAACTTATGTTGAAACTCGCTTGCATTCAGCTACTTGCCAAGGCCTCAAATACTATTTCTATTTGGCCCTAGCATATTAAACAATTATGTGTAGTGTGTCACAAATATCAAAGAACGTCTCGGTAGTCTAGCCAACCGCACGATGCAGCACCGTCGGGTTAATCAGAGGACCGCGCGTGCGCAGCGCGCGGGGATATCCGGCCTTGTATTAACAAATATTAATAAATAAGTATACATTGTCAATTGTTCTCTCACATTGCAGAAATCCATTACTCTGTCCGGTCCAAAGGTCACGAGGCCAGGACCCCTGGGGCTGGGCTGCACGCCCTCCACCGAGTCGTTCATGGTTGGGTCCGACCACAGCAGGTCCATCAGCACCACGCCGCCCTCCTCCATGGTGAGCGGCCGCTGCAGGCAGGAGATCTGCTCTGTGCGCTCTATGGACCTCCCGATACCTGCGCTGCCACAATGCCTAGGTGTCATTCTCGGCCACGCCATTGAGCTATGGCAAGGTGATACAATTTTTGGGGGGTATACATTGCCTTGCATGCTCTTGCTCGATGGCACAAAGCCCACATATAATGCGATAGGACAGCAAGGACAGCTGGACGCTGAAATGTGATGTAATGTTCGAAATCAAGAAAAAAGGCAAGATGGTATCAGAATACCATAAACACAAATTGGAGTGTGATAACAATGACAGTATTGAGACAATAGAGTGGCCGCTACTGAATGAATGCAGTATGAATGCGGTATCCATGTATGAACGCATGATTAAGAAATTTCAATTCAAAGCGGATAATGACAAGCACAGCATAAGAACGCCCGACTTGTTCCATATCCAGCGCCGTGTGCACCGCCCATCCACGACGTCGTCGACTTGATACGATTTTTTCCGCACTGAGAAGCTATTGCGCGAATGGCCGCACTGTTTGCAAGTGCCATGCCACCCTCAAACGCGCCAACTGAAACGATCCTACACAGTTTGTGTATGCTGCTTTTTATATTGAAATATCAGATTGACAAATTGATGCATCACACCGACATGGTGATAGGCACCACAGTGATTCATGGGACAGTTTCGAGTTATGGTGATCTGTGCATTGTAAACCACTGAGCCTCTCGACAATTTATCCCAAAAGAGGGTTTTGATCCTCCATCGGTTTTTCCAATAGAGGATTTTGATCTTCCATTGGTTTTTCCAAACGAGGATTTTGATCCTCCATTGGGTTTCCAAACGAGGATTTTGATCCTCCAGTGGGTTTCCAAACGAGGATTTTGATCCTCCATTGTTTTTTCGAAACGAGGATTTGGATCCTCGTTTGGTTTCGGTCTTTGGCAATCTTGTTGCCCAGCTGTCTCCATCCCCATCACCGTTCCTGATGGGGGTTGGCGTGTCCATGCAGCGTATTTGTGTGTTTCATATAAACACATAAAAAAGAAATACCCGAGGTGGGAGACACATCCAAACTGCGACACTTCACTTGGCCATCATGCTGTGCCCTCCATGCAAGATGCGACAGTTTTTCACTTACAATCTCAAGTCGACCAGCGAAGCGATATCAATGCAAACGATGAGTCCCAATTGAAGAATGACAGCTAAACAGTGACAACGAGCAACATCATCCGCCCTCCTGACAATCCGACAACTACAGACACCAGCCACCGAACACACAGAAAGAGTGACAGCATCAAAAGCGCAGAAAGAGTGAAACCATCGAAAGAACAAGAGGAGTGGGGTCAAGAGGACGCACAGAAGAGAGGTTCCGTTGAATCTACGCACCGCCATGCATGCACAGTACTTTGTCTTGAATGAGGGCCGCCAGGGGTAGCCAGTTGAACACGGCGTTGATCCGCTGCCACGCCCAAATGCCATCGGGGTCGCCCAGCCTCTCGAGGCACTCCAGCCGAAAGCCAAACAGGGCATTGATGTCTGCAGCCTGCCACATCGGACCTCGATCATCTGGCAGAATGAAAGTGCCCAAGCACCACAAATCTGCATTCTTCCACTTCGGCCAAGAGACACAAACGCCAAAATTGCAACATCGAAACTGGAGCCCCAGCTTGCGGCGGCCTTAGACAAGTCGAGCATTCTCCAAGGCCGAATCGAGTGCAGCACAGGGAAAAGCTGCATTTCTGTCAACCTTGCACACAAAAAGAACGCTTGCCATCATACCCAAAGCGTTCAGATCGGACGCCCACTTTGTGGCCGCCCCGAAGAGAGATTGATATTTTTCAAAATCAAGTTGAATCATCAAAAGCAAAGTAATATGCATCGAGCATGCCTGAGAAACACAGAGGCCGAGATGCAGGTTTACGATTGCACAGGGAAAGAATTGACTTGAGTTGGGCACTGTTGGCCCTGGTCAATGCATTCGAGCTGCAAGGGATTTGTTCGCCACGTGCTATTGACAGATGGAATCAACAGAACTCGCCCATAACATGGTGGCAAAACACTCCCCACTTTGACACGGTCTTCTGTTGCATTCAAGTTGTGCCAAATGGAGGCAACCAATGACTTCGAAGTTCGAACCGTGTCAAAATGGAACAAAATCGTGTTTTCTGACTCTGTATTTTGCCTGTGATTCTTGCCTTTTCTGCCAGTAAAAAGCACCGGGCGGAACTGCAGAATAAAGTTATCTGGCGGTTATCCCCAAACGAGGATGCCATACCACCATTTGGGAACCAACATGACAATGCCAGTCCAACCTTTTTAATTCCACGCAGCGGAAAACAAAAACACATGAGTCAGAATGGCGACAACAGGGTCGGCGGCCCACCTCGTGATTGCCCCTTATGAGGTGGACGTTGTCAGGGAATTTTATCTTGAGCGCCAGTAGTAGGCAGATGGTCTCTAGGCTGTGCGCCCCGCGGTCAACGTAGTCCCCAAGGAAGAGGTAGTCTATGTAGGTGATGTCGCCGCCAACCGATGGCATCCCGTACTCCTCAAAGAGCCGCATCAGGTCCCCGAATTGCCCATGGAGGTCTCCAAAGAGCTTTATGGGGGCTGCAACGTAAGGGAACAAAATATAAACTAAAGGAACTGCAGAAATAAGATAGTATGCTAAGGGGCAACCAAAACCAAATAGCAAAAATCGAAATAAAAGGCAAAGCAATAAAGAGTATTGATACAGTCGCATCTATACCAAAGAAATTAGGTGCAACAAAAACCTCTGACAATACAAAATGTAGTCTTCCAAAACATGCTGTGAATGTAAATAGAATGCAATGACCATGGGTTCTGTGGCAGAACGAAAACACTTCATACAATAGCCAGACAATGGGCAATCCCTTCCTGGGCAACATTGTTGGGGCACGCTTTTGCACAGCGCGAAAGATGATGCACAAACCTCCAAGTATAACAGTTGAGCACACGCCACGGAGCAGCACAAATGGCCATCACACACTCCCAGCACGATAGATTGCAGGCATAACTGTCACTGGATTATCACTGCACTGGAAATGGAACTGCTTTGTAATTAGAATCATGTCGTAGTTGTGGCTGGGATAATAAATGCTGGGATTTTATTGTACTCAGGATTGTGACTGACGCTCTGAATTGAGCATTGTGTTGCTGAATATGCAATCGGAAAGAATGTTACCTTGCAGGCTCAGCACCGTTGGCTCCTTTTTGAATATGTTCTCTGCTTCCTCGCACAGCTCGCTGATCTCCTCGGCTGACAGGAAGAAGCGCCGATCCATGGGAGGCGACCACTGCCTCGGGTTCAGCAGCATGTCTATAACCCTCTTGTGGACGTGTTGCTGTGCATATGGAACGGGAAGCGATGCACTCTCAGACTAGCGATGTGCAGTTTAGTAAACATCAAGACACAAGAAGGAGGCGCATTAGAGTAAAGGGCGAGCAGAGAAATGGTGGCCGTGGAATGGAGCTGGGGTCAAAATCAATGTCAAATGCAACACGTGGTTTGTGTTCCCATCCACTCATACCATATTAGGCAATGCATATTGTTTGTTCACACATCGGATGCTGCACATCTGTGTAATATGTACATGGCTGTCGTCGCCTTCCAAGGTGCCAAGGTACATCTCATCAAAACTTCAAAATCCATACTGGAAACAGAATAGAGGGACTGCACTGTTATTCCTTCCATACACCGCAAATGGAGCAACATACAGTAATGGGTTGCATGGCAAGAGGAAAGCACAAACAACAGGGGGGCAATCACATGTGTTTGTGATCAGCACAGGACAACCTTCGACAGGTACAAAGGAGCGGCTTGTCCTGTTTTGACAAATGAAGATCGGTAAGCATTCACATGATGTCATGCTGCTGATGAGGGCCACAAAAGCATTTTAGCAGCAAACACTTGCAACAGCCCCGCAACATGCCTCAATGTAGCATATCTACCAATGCAACATAACATATACGTACACTACTATGCACCTGTTGGGCAGTGTTGGATGCACCGATCTGAGAATCCGCAGAGTAGTTTTGAAGGATTGATCGAAAGGTGTCACAACAGCGAATTCCTAAATCAACAGGGACACTGCCGCACCTACCAGTGGCGAGACGCTGGTCTTTACCAGCCCACCTGCGGGCGGCCCATGCTCTGGATGCATCCCCATGCTCACTCGCCTGCCCTCATTCTCAAACTGATCCAGGGAAAGCTGTCGAACAAGGCCCCGCAAGTTGCCTGGAGGATGTTCCTGTGAACCACAGCAGCCATCAACTGGCAGCCTTGGCACAGAGAGGTCATGTGACAGTTCTCCCACCTTGCATTGCTCCATTGTTCCAGGCTGTTCAACTGTGCTGTTCTCTTCTCCATTTCCTTACCTTTCAATTACATGCAGTACAGTCAACAATACGCGCAAATGGGAACACATGAAATACAATAGAACAATACTGCACTCTCTGAATGAGCAGTGTTTCACATTCTCAAATATGGCTTTGCAAGGTACAGCCACAGAGAATCGTTTGCACACGGATGGGTGGCTTTCAGCAGGTTTCATTAGGATGGGCATTTTCGAACACAGGCAAGCAGACTATTAGAATAACAACAACAACAACAACAGCAACAACACAACCATGAATCGTTACAGCTACAAGAATTAGATTGTTATTAGAACACAGATGAAACATGGCCAGGCACCTGCATACAGGGAGTATGCCAACAGTTGTCTCTGAGGTGTTCATTCAATGCCTTGTGAAGTTCTTGCATTATCTGCAGGAAGCATTGCAGGGACCATATGATGACATTGCATTTCAATACTGAAACAACATAACCCACCCAAAGCCTGAAAAGATCAAACCCACAAAGTAGAAAAGGAACAATACTTGAATGCACAAAGCAGAAAATGGCAAACAAAAGCAAGCAAAACAACACAAAGAGGAACAACAAGAAAGGGAGTTGAACCAAGCAGCACACCTGTGGCACAACAACAGCCCTGTGCCACAGCCGCACAGCCTCAGGTGTGGGTGGCTGCTTGTCCGACCCGGGTGCCTTCAGGCTGATGGGGCTAGATGCTGTGCTGATCGGCGGTGGGCCCCCTGTGGAAGAGGCCGCAGTTGGGCTTCTTGGCAGGGTGGAGTCTCCCACGATGCTCCCCACCTCCTCTGCGCAGTGCAGGTCAGTGTCGGAGGTGGCGGTTGGGGATGCAGGCTGGTGCGCCACGCCGATTGCCTGCACGGCGGCAGCCTCCTCAGCAGCAGCAGCGGCCAGGCTTTCGGGCCCTGTGCTGCGGGCGGCGACCAGCCAGTCGTTCCAGCCAGGGGAGTTGGGGTCGCCGATGGTGAGCTCACCTGCATTCCAACTCAATTGATTACATGCTTGCCACAACGTTCAAGCCCAACAACAGCAGGCTGGCATTGTGGCCTGAGGAGGCACATGGGGGTTGAGGTGTGCTGCTCGACGGTTGTGTTTGGGGAGGGACAGGAGGGTGGCAGGCAATGGGCAGTTGGGGTTGTCTGGGGTTCAGCAGGTGGACACAGCCAGTGCTGAGGACTGGAGAGCTGTGGATTTTGCTGGAAATAGGACAAGTCGTGATCGCCTGCCAGGAGAAGAAGCTTGCATGTGATCGCACGCAAGGTACAGGTGCACAGGCAATTTTGAAGGATAACAGACTGCAAGGTACAGTTTTTCTGTTTTGTCACGTTAAGACAACAGCAAAAGAAATCAGGCCAGAATCGTTGCAGGAGTTTCTGCGACTGTGACAACACAAAGCAATGCCCTCTTTTTCTTGGTTGGAGAATGCATCGGTTACGTTATACACAATATGTTGAATGATATTTGTATAAGTAATTCCCTGGTAAGGGGGACTGTGAAAGTCGAAGTGGTGGGTTCCTACTCCTGCTATACTGTGTACATTTAGGGATTCGTTCTGTGACGGCGTCTTTTGGCAGTCTGTTCCCTGCGTCTGGGTAGCGCATTGCAATGGCGAGAGGGGAACAAAGCTAGAGTGCCTCCACAGCCATAATGCAGAGATGCAGGATATCAGCCCCAACGCTGAACAGCACGAGCTGGCAGTCTCCAATGCACCAGGTGTGAAACATCTTTTGACCACATGCGAAACATGAGAGCCCTTGCAGCCACAAGGCGATTGGAGCGTAAGACTGCATGCTGTTTGAGCCAATGCGATTGCGACAAATGCAAAAGTCCAAGATATGAGTATACAACACAAGCAAAAAGTACACAAACAATATACCAAAAAAACAACATATGATAATGTACAAAGCACTGAACAACAAAACTCAAAACGCACCAGGTGGAATGCCATCAGATGCCACAAGCAGGTCCTCCAGCAGCTGGCTACCCCGCAGGCCTCCGTAGATGAAGATGTAGTTGCCAACAGCTGCCATGGAATGTCGACAGCGCCGCATGCTGTCATCACCCTGCCTGCCGGCGGTTGAATGCCTGCACCATACACCTGCAGACGTGTCGAGACTCACCACAGTAGATGCCTCCTCCACCTGAAGGTGAACAAGCCAATCACATTTGGGAGAATTAATTGGCCCAACAATATGGACATTACTCATCCTGTCCCACAATATTTCACCATTCAGTACACAAAGCACATCAACAACAGAGCATTGTGGTTGCATCCAGAAACTCGTGCATCAACGCCTCTTGGTCCATCGAGTAAGCAGCTGTCCATTCCACATCACAAGACGTTCACCATGTTGGCGGTACTTGTCAGACTAGCTTTGAAAGTTTTAACAATGGAGCATCCTGGCACTGCCCAAAGCACCATAGGTGGACGAAAGCTCAACCAGAAAGGGAAGAATGAGTAATTAAAGCATAGTACGATAAAAATAAACATGTCTAAACAATGAGGGTGAGGGCCTTTGCGAGCACATGAAGATTTTATGGATGCTCAACAAGTCGACTGACTTCCACACAGGTTGAATCTAGCTTCATCCGTGCTCAGCAATCGTGTCCACGCAGCTGCCTACTATAGAGAGCCGTAAATTCTCAGGGCCTCTTTGCCTCTCGGGCCTTGGCAGTTGTTTGGCATGCAGGGTGCAGCTAGGAACAGTTTTGCTGCGGTTGGCATGCAAGACATCGCTTTGTAGGTGCTTTGTAGGTGCAAGGGGGCATTCTGCCATGTCCTCAGTCCAATTGAATTGAATTTTCCATCAACAGCATGTCAGCCAACATGGGCTGTGTCGCCACCCAGCCCCCCATGAACATATGTCCATTGTTTGTCCCCATGTATGCCAGTACGCACGCGCTGCCGCTTGCCTCTACATTGAGGCCTATAATTGTTTGTTCAGACTCTCCCCTGCATCTCACCCGCAGCACTCTCCCACACCCCTCACCACCCCCCACTGTTTCTTCAGGCTAAAGCAACCAACCACGATTTACGGCTCCCAATGCCCATTAGTACTTTGCACAGTTTGCAAAAAATTCACAGTCGGGGAAGAATTCTTGGGTTTTGTGCAACACAAAGGCAGTGTTTGTGGCTGCAAACAAGTGAAGTTGGATGCAGCAGTTTACTGCCAGATGCCATGCACGCAGCATTCCAGAAAAAAATCTCAGCTCATTGATCCTCTTTCAGACAACAAACACCACCAACAACACGTTTCAAGGCTCCTTTTGCCTGTAACAGACATCATCTGTTGCAGTACTTCCCCTCACCCCAATCAGGCAGACAGGAGTTCATGGGGACATTGGGGCAGTCTGGCCATACCTTTGAGGTGATGTTGTTTCAATCTGCACAAGAGGGCAACCCGCTCCCCTTTGCTCTTTGCTGTGTCTCTACTCTTGCTGTCCCACAGTGCTGCAAAGTGGAAAATTGCATAATGCGTTCTTCCTAACAGGATTTGCTTCAGCACATGGCCCTTTTTCTGGTTTGCAATCTCTCTGTCTTCTATTCTTGTCTTAATCTGCGTTTATTCGTGTTCTCTGAACTCAGTTTGAATTTGACAGTTCAAAACACACACACACACACACACACACACACCATGCGCCCCCCGCCAACAGCTCCACCAGTGATGTGAAGCCGGGCACCAACGAAAACAGCTGCATGCTGGTATCTGGCAACAGGCATCAGCCCTGGTGCTGCTGCCCACTCCCAGCGACCGTCTCTGTGCCTTGCGAAGCCATAGGCATCCCCCAAGGGTGTGCCAGAAACATCACGACCACCACACAGCAGCAGCAGCCCGTCCTGCCGTGCTGCCGATGATGCATACATCCTGCAAGCAGCATGCGCTACTCTAAGCAACTGGAACAACTCAATGCAAGACACCACTGTGACCGAGGAACACATGAACCGAAGGCATAGCTGTGCAAACAGTGCTTACAGTGTCATCCATCGGCCATTTCGCCATAAAATCATCCAGCTGTGGTGTAGATCCTCTCAAATGCCCACAAAATACAAGGCAACAGGCAAGTCAGGAACACAACAGCACGGACATCAATGGGAAACAAAAGCCTCTACAACCCTTTAAACATATAAAGTGCAATGTACAATTGTGCAATTGTGCAATTGTGCTATTAGGGGTATGTGTATTTATGAACTTGTGACACTAAACTAATATTCAATGACATTTGGTGCACTTGCCATCGCCTGCAAGGCTTTGTTCATCATGGCTTGGGCAAATGCAATCATGAAATCTCGCATGCAAGCAAAGGCAGCTGGCAATGTGCTGTTGCAGTTGTGTTTGCCAAACAGAATTCACAGCAGATGAACACCAAATAATGATCTGCTTTCCTCACACATGCCAGCAAATCTCCACCACATCCAGAGCCTTGAATCTCAATGCACAATGGTGACCAGCACTGGCCACTAAAACCAAAGAAAAGAAGCCAAAGGAGAGGATGAAGCATGTCCATCTGCACACTGATCTGGCAATCTGCTGGGCATGCATTGACATTCAGCTACAGTGTTTTCACTGTACAGTCTGTACAGTCTTCAACTTTCAGCAGTTTGGCTTTCTGGTGTTTGGCACATCAATTGCTAAGAAGTTTATGATTTCAGCAACAAGGACCCAGAGCACTTGTTGAATATCTTTTGGAGCAGGCAAGCCTTGCCATGTGGCTATTTCTTCCGTTGCAACATTGCGCCGTAAATCAATATACTGAATCACAAATACTTAGTTTATACTTCCTCCGTCCCAGATTAATTGTCGTCTGTTTCATTGCTAAATTTGTTACAAGGACAGCCTCAAAATTTCAAAACAAGGTCAAAATCGAAAAAATTGCATCTCAAAACCCTTGATTATAAATTCTTAAGAAGGAAAAGTGAGACACAACCCTTTTGAGCACAAGGTGAATGTAAATTCTGGTCATTTTCGACCCAAAATATTGAGATTTACTACGTAAAATACCCTTCACGCAAAGTACTGCCAAATCCTCAATACTTAATGGATTGACTTGAAATTTTGATGGTGTACTCCCAGCTCAAAAACACAACCGTAAGCAAAATTTCATTGAAAACAGGTGTGGGCACGATGGAGAAATAATGCCCGAAAATCATAGACGACAATTACTCTGGGATGGAGGAAGTAGTAAATGCATATTGGATGGTAGTGAGCACATGGTTCACAATCATACATGACAAGGTCTCCCAGGTGCAAGGGAAGTGTGCTTTGTGATGTTCCAACACATGCGCTGTGTGGATTTCCATAAGCTCAGCCTAGAACCCATACCTTGCCGATGGCATATCGCCAGAGTCGCTTATCTTCCGCCACTTGTAGGGCTTTTCGGACGTGTCCAGTGCCCATGCATCTCCCAGCGTGGACTTGCCATCGTTGCCACCCATCACCACAAGGAAGCGGTTGGCCACCAGGGCGAGCACGTGGGCGTACCGGGCCCCCGGTCCAGCACCCTGAACCATCACCCTGAAGAACAAAATACCTGATGGTGCATCATCAACTGCAAGGAAACAACGGGAAGGAGCAAAGAAAGCATATATTGCAGTGGAAACCCCTTGTCCTGAATACGATCCTGTGAAGGGCATCTTTGTAGGAGATGAGAACAGATAACTCACAAACAAAACTAGCAGTAGACAAGTAAATTCATCAATAAATGCTTTCAGACGAACAGCAAGTCAAGACTGCCCCCTGCGCCTCAAGAACATTTGTGACAAGCTTCTTGCAATAAAGAAACGATGCAGAAGCGACGGAAACTTGATGCAGCACAGAGCAGGACACATAGCAAGAAACAGTAGGTTGCATATGCCAAAATGTTACAAACACTCCGTGGCATCAAATGAACCTGTTTCAAAGCAGCAAGGCTCCGTGCTATAGGTGCCAACTGTGGCAGTACCTCTTCGCTTTGGTCTATAACAACTCCATGTTTGCCACCATCCAGTGCAAATGGGACAGATACCTCTATCCAAAATGGGACCAGAAGTGACTCATGGAAAACCAAGAAAAGAAAACTAGGTGTTGTTTCATGTGTTTCTGTCCCCATCGGCGGAGCAACCAGACCACCTGTTCCACTGGGGCCTGCTGAAGTCACTAAAGTCAACATGCTCTTGTTCTTCAGTACATGGTCCAACAGCAACTGCATGTTTGCCGCTGCCTGGTGCAAATAGGACAGGTACCTACACCCGAAATGGGGCCACAAGCCACTCATGGAAACCCAAGAAAAAAAAACTAGGTGTTGTTTGGTATGTTTGTGTGCCTATTAGTGGGGTGACCAGACCCACCTGTGCCACTTGGGCCTGTTGAAGTCAGTAAAGTCAATAACGTGCAGGTCCTCTGAGGCCAGCCCTGCTGGGCCAATGCCCCCCTGGACACAACACGACACAGGTGAGCCCCTCCAAGACACTGTCATGTTTTGACAGATATCATCGAAGGACTGCCAGCACGATGTTGTGGGCAGATCCATGAGGTGACACCGCCAGGGATGGTGCCCCTTGGCATGCCGCCACCAACTGGACTTGGCTGCAAGCCCCTGCTCAGCAATGTGATGATCGCAAGATGCCTGTCCCAAAACGATCTCTCGATTTGAAGCAGGGAAAGAAAATGATGCATTGCATCAATCGAGTTTGCCTGAATGTGGCAAGCACCACTGCTGCACCTTCAGGATAGCAACAGGCAAGTGTGAGCTCTAGGGACTGGTTCAACCTCCCAGAACAGGGGGCAGAAACAATTGTGTCACAAATGTGTGCCGGCCACCACCAACAAGACACTTTCTGGGACAGCCAGCGAGCGTCACAATTGATCCACCAATAGGCTTCGCATTGGGCCAGGAACTGAGGATTGCAATGAGCAAGTCAACAGGGTGAGCAACAGATCTGCAAACAGGGCGAGCGGAGATCTGCATGATGGGCAGGAGGATGAGCAGCAGAGGCATGATGCACCTGGATGACGACCATGCTGCCGACGGCTGCGCCCGCGTGGGCGGCCCTGGGAGATGGTGCCTCCCCCTGAGGGTGGACCTTCTCCCATGTGCCCGACCGCACGTCAAACACGTGCACTTCATTGGTGGCGCCCGCCAGCCTGATCCCTGCGCAGCCAAGGCCACTGTAGCTTGGCAGCGTGACTTGGCACAAAACAAATGGCGGAGGTCGCCAGATGTGCAAGGGCACCGGTCTTTTTTTGAAGGCTGGGTTAAACAGCAACTTAGTGGAGCAAGAGGGCTGTCGCCACTGGAAATGGGAGGCTGGGGTTAGGGGAAGGACGACTTGGGTGACAATCAGGAGGCTGCAGTTCGCCCAGAGTGGGCCCGGTGTGTGTATGTGTGTGTGTTAAGGGGGTGTTGGAAAGATTGGTGGCTTGGCAATACCCAGATCCAGCGGGTCGTGGACGGGGAGAGCAACTGAGCCCACGGCTTCCACCTCCACAAATATTCCACAAGCATACCGTCCGCGACATCTCCAGGAGGATGCCAGCAGTCAAGAGCATAAATTCGCGCAGGACACTTGCAGCCCGCTCCCCAACGCTGCGAACCTTGCCCGATTGCCAAATTTTCCAACCTTGCCCAATTGCCCCCCAAATCTCCTCTTATGGGCCCCACCCGCCCATCCACCACCACATAACCCCCGGGGGTCGCCATCGAATCCGTGGCCCATCCGCCCGCACCCCCGAACGCCGACCCCCATTTCCTTGCCCGCACCCAAATGCAATCCCCAACATCGTCGCGACCCCCCGCGAGGCCATGTCCCCACATCCGCTCAGGGCGCGATGATCCCAAAGGATGATACCTGTCTGTCCGCCGGACGCCTGCGCGGGCGTGCCGGGGCCGGCCCCCCCCTCCACTCGGCTGGTGCCCTCCAGGGCGGTCGCCCCGCCTTGCACAGAAACAAAAAAAACTCAGCCAAGGGAACAACCCAAGACATTCAGCCGATCGATCCTTCGCCACATTCCACTCGACGGCAACGCGGGGCGGGGGCTGAACGGCGGGCACGGAGCGCCTCCCAAGGCGCGCGGTCGGCGCCATCCCCTCGCAAAACTTGCACAGAGTCCCGCGCTGGCCGCCCACTTTCTTTTTCCCAATCTTGCGTTCTGCGTTCTCCGCACAACAAGCCGCCAGAACTTAGACGCATCAAACCAAGCACGAGCGCCGAATCGGCAAGGCAACCTCCCGAGAGCCTAGTCGGCGTGGCCGGCCGTATCCCGCCGCCCCGCGCCCACCGAACGTGACTAGCTTCGCGGTGCTGGCTGCCCCAATTCTGCATTTTGCGCATGTTCTGCATTCTCCGCACGACAAGCAGCCAGAATTTGGACGCAACGATCCAACAGCGCCCGCTAGATCGGCCGTTGGAACCCTCCCCCGAGAGCCCAATCGGCGCCGCAGAGGGTGCTCGGCCGCGTCACCCACCGAACATGACGAGTTTGGCCGTCGCCGGGTCGCCGTCGAAGGGGTAGATCGTAGTCAGCGTGTGGCCGCACCGCGGCCCGGGCTTGGCGCCGATCAGCGGGAAGGAGCGCGGGCGCGGCGGCGGCGCCGACACGCGATCGTGATCCATGGCCCCCCGATCGGCCCCGCCCTCCGCCCGCCGTAGATCCAATCAATTCTTCGAGGGGCGGGATGCCGGGTTGTTGATGGATTGATTGCGCGAGTGGAGGGATTGGCGGCGGCGGCGGCGGGGGGTGCGGGAGGCGGCCCGTGGGCGAGGGGCGTGCGAGGTGGGCGGTTGGGCGCGTGGGGAGGGGTGGGGCCCCGGGGGTGGAGGGTGCGTCTGCTGGGCGCGCACTGGCGCTTCGGGGGGCCAGCTTCATTTGGTTCAGGGCCGTCACAACATCCATGCCATTGTCTCAATGATTGAGACTCAATCGATATTAATTGTGCAGGGGCACACGGCCTGACGAAGGCAGGCAGGTTAGGGGGGCGGCGACCCCTGACTGGGAACCGTAGGCTCGAGTACATGGCAACTGTTTGCAGCGGAGCAAAGGACAACAGGAGTTCTGTTCCTTTTGTCCAATCCGTTCATCACTGTCCTTGATGCAGTTCCTGATGCGTCATCGCCTCGTTTTATGCGTCCATTTGAGACTCCCCTAGTCTATTCAACCCTTCCGCATAGCAACATAACGCTTGGCCTCTTTTTGCGGAGAAAATAGTAAACCAACAACACTCAATCAGTTCAAGTTACAACACACAGGCCCATTCCGGCCATGCCTTTCATTAGCACTAACGAGCGCCATTTATTGGCGAAGCGAGAAATTGAGACAATGACAATCGTGCATGACCTTGCAGTGCAAAGGGCTCCTTGCATTGTTGTGTAAAAACTCATCATGGCGACGGCTTTGTAACGTGTGACATTCCTTCTTGGGGGCTGACCCCCCAAGAGACCCTTTCAAAGAGTCCCTTTGAGCAAATTTGCTACGCTGTAGGCCGTTGTCATGTGCTCTGGCCCACGGGGCCCACTTGGGGTTTGCCACCCCTCGACCCTGCCGCCCTGCATCAGCGACGGGCGTTTCGGGTGTTATTTGGTGGCAAAATAATAAGCTTAAACAAAGTGGATTGGCTCCATGGCAGGGAATGGCATCAACTAAGATTTTCTCAAGCAAGCCTGTATTGAACCCTTCAGGATTCACACATGGTACAGCCTCATCAGGCCAGCCAACCATTCTGAACGATGTGTGTCATCATTGCAACTACTTTTTGGGGACCTTTTCTTGCAATGCGCCGCTCAATTTCTCGAGATCGAGCTGCTCGACCTCGTGCGCCGAAAAGATTGACTGAACTGAATAATACCATAAAATATTCAACACATCCGCACCAGAAAGTTGCACCACCACACTTTTGCAATCCCATTTTTGTTTTCAGGGCGTTATTTTACCGTTTTCATGTTGCTCCACAAAGAAGGCCAATCGCTGCGCTACTATTTATTTGTTCTTCTCCGCCAAAAAAGGCCAGATGTTACGCTGCTATGCGGAAGGGTTTAACAAAATACGGTAGAATGGCATGGTTGGTGGCGTCGCTGCAGGACCCGAGGAACAACGATACCCACCACGTCAACTTATTCTGCAATCTATATACTATAACGTAACAATAAGCTAATTGTTGTGTCCATTATGTCGCTCGGCTCCTAAACTGAGCCACGTTCTCTCTTTGCTGCCGCGCACAAGACGGTATGCGTCAAAGCGAATCGATTTTTGACATAACAGTGCACACTAGGAGAATAAAGGCCAAATGACACATGCTCAAACGTGTGCAAAGTTTACTTGTTCGGGTTATTTTCGTGTTTTTGGCGTGCAAAACACTGATGAAATGCGTACATGTGTTTTCTCAAAAAAGTGTTATTTAAATAAAGGGCCGAATTTGTTCCTTCTTTGCTAGTGGCAGCAGTCCTTTTCGGTTGTGTCCCCACTCATAAAACGGAAGAACGGCTTCCATCAATGTATTACCATTAAAAGCATTTCAAGAAAATGAGAATTGGGAGGATATGGATATTTTTGTGGTAAATACTGGATCTCAGCGAATCAATCATTTATCGCTGCCAGACTTGGGTTTTACGTTTGTGCTTGCTTTTTTGCGTTTACATTTTTACAGGTGAAAAAGCAAATTTGCGAAAGGGGCTAATTTTTGCAGCTGATCGCAGCTTATTTCGGACGGTATTGGGAGTTGGACATTGGGTATATTTTTCCTGCGATTTCTTTGTGGGGTTCATTTTATGGAAGTTGAGCGGCAACGACAACACGCACGACAACATGTTTCAGAAATTGCAAGGCGATTGTGCGCACCATGTCACCATTATCATTTCTTACATACCAAGGCAATGAGGTAGCGGTCAACTCGCTATTCTGCCCGAGCAAAGCAGACTCTCTGGTGAGTTCATCATCAGTCCGCCAAGACACTGAGCTCCAGAAGACAAGATACATTTTCCCTTCCATTGCCACAGGCTTGGTTTTTACGTTTACGTTTACGTTTTTACTTTTACGTTTTTACACGTAAAAACGTAAATTTGCAAAAGGTCCTATTTTTACGGCTATTTTTACGTTTTTACGGACCCCTGGGACACCCAGATTATACTATGAAAGTTGCGTACAATGATCAGTCATCCGCCAACTCCAGCACCCACAACACAATGTCCACCTCGGCCTTGGCAAGGGCGATGATGGCGCTTATGTTCGAGTGCCATGATGTTACAAACAGCTGACAAATACCGCCAGGAGGGTGTCTACGCTTGGGAACAGCAATATGGCTCACCGTCCAGCCATATACGCTCAACGAAAGTCACTAATGACAGAGCCACTATTACAGCCCTGTCAATCGCCCAGCATTTCTGAGCGTTCCGCTCCTGCACTTTTACCAACTTAGTTCATAAACACTCACAGGACAACGAGAATCACCACAGCAAGTAAATTCAAGCCCAACAGGATACTTGGGGTGTGGTCGAGCGCTGCCGAAGCGAGGCGCAACCCCAGAGCTGAACTTCGTGTTCAAGTTCACCTTAGCCGTTCACATACAACGAGAAACATGCAACTGCTGACCAGCTCGACGAGAGGCACGAAAATACACGCTCAAACTGCGAAACGATGCTCCACACCTCACTCAGTAGCTCAGTATGACGAGCGTACTGACCATTCTCCAGATGTCTCAAACCGATGTCGTCGATGCTCGTTCCCTGCGGTCCAGCGCTGCGCTCCACTCACTCGCCAAGCAGCGGACGATGAAGACGGGTCGTTGAGTCGACGAAGTCAGCGCCCAACGTGGGCGCGCGCGGGTCAGTCGGTCAACGGAATGGGAATCGAGCTCGGCGTCGAGCTATGGGTATGTGCAGCGGTGCACAACCCCAAGGACAATTGACCCGGAGGGTCAGGAGGCGAAGGCACATGGAAACGAAAGTGCTCGTTACACAGCTGCTCCCCTTCGACCACGTTCGACCTCCACACACTCACAGCACGACCGTTTTCAACAGAGCACCCGCCGTTCAGACCGCCAGAACCAAAAACGGACGGGTGGGGGGCGGAGAGAGAGGGGAGAGGGGGCACCCACACCCCAAACACTCCCTCCTAAATACCCCCGCCAGCTCCAAGGGCACTACACTTCAGTGACCCTTGGATAAACAAACAGACACATCAAGGAAAAGGCGCCAGTACCCCTCGTACTCCTCAGAAGTTCCCATTGACCTTCTCCAAGTTGACCCTTTTCAAAGGGTCACCCAATACAACCAAAAAAGTCACTTTTGCCCACTACAATATTAATCAACATCCGTCAGCACCCCTTGGCAGCACTCCCATGAAGATGTACTGCTGTACATCTTCTTCCCACTCACGCTGCGAAGTACTAACCGCTGTAGGTTCCTGAAAAATCAAACTAGGGGGAACCCCCCTATCCAAACAAAAAATACACCTAATGCACTTTTCATCCCAAGTACATCCATCACACCCCACAGTTCCGTAGTGGGTAGTGTCTCCCGGCTGCCTAATCCATTCCACCTCATTCTCCCCCATGTACGACATACGGGCCCTTAACTGTACCCCCTGCATCATCCAGTTTCCTTCCGGGCCTGGCAGCTCCACCTCCCACTCAGCTGTTACGTAAGCTTTCCAACGCGATGCAGCGACCACCCTCCAGTATGCCCGGGTGGCGCGCTCCACCATCCCCACTGGCAGCCCCCCGTCTCCCTCGGCGAGGCCGCCCACGCACCCCTCCCCGGCCCACGCGAACGGCGCGGGCGGGCTGTCCGGGCCGTCGCGCTCGGCGGCCATCCATGCATCTCGCTCGGAGATGCTCCAAATGCCCTCGCCGCGCCAATTCGCGGCGAAGACGCTCCGCCGGAGCCGATCGCCCAACCGAACGTTGGGGATCGCCGCGACCCAGTAAGCTCGGACGGCAAACAGCTGGCCGTTCCGGTGCCTTACTCGCCACCGAGTCATGGCATCAAAAGCGGAGTGGATCCAAAAGAGGGGCGTTCCGGGGCCGGAGGCCATGGCCCATGCCTCCGCCCCACCAAGCCCATTGCGGCAAGCGAGCACCACTTTGCCCGCTTCGTCCGGGCCGACCAAAGGCTCGCCCGGGCCCCTTCGTCCCTGCGTGCACGGATCCACAAATATCCCCGGAGGGAGAGAAAGCACCGCTCCGCCATGGAGCATGGCGGAACCGGAGGGTCCGCCCACACCGAACGTGAGCACGTTCGACCCGCCTGCGGAACGTGGGGATGCTCCGGCCATGGCGAGGGAGGGCTTCCGACGGTCCCTGCACGGTCGGGGAGGCTGGGGTGTTGCGGCGCGCCAAGCAGACCGGGCAGAGCGGGCGTAGGCGGGGCGCATGCGCAACCCGCGGGGACCAGATGCAGGGGGGCGCGGTCATGTCCGACATACGGTACATTACACGAAATATCAAAAGGGCGGTCTCCCGTACAGGTGCAAAACCACAAAGTACTGTTAGCAGCCGCACCCAACGTCCCATCACGCCTCACTGGACCCCTATACCCTGCCAGTACCTGTCCCATCAAGGTCCTAGGACCTTCTGCAAAAGTTCAGGTCCATTCAAGGCCACCCCCTACGGTTCATGGTCTCC